AATCCACTGTATCTACCACAGATCCAGTGTCCTGTTTCAAAGTGCCACAGTCTTAATCTTTCCAGCAATAGGAGGGCAGATGCTGAGATCAACAGTAACTATTCAATGGCAGATATCCTACTTCAAACAAGTAATGGATGGCAGGGGACAACTTTCCTTCAAAATGGAGTGGACCATTTTTCTAGGGCAGAACATCTTATTTGATTTAATTTGGAACTGAAAAGACACTTAGAAAAATAATGGGTGGGTCCAGGACAGAAATGGAATTTAAGTTCATTCCATTTCTATTGAAGGATAATTAGGGTGACTTCTGTCTATCGTGCATTTATTAATTCTGCCTTCTTTTATATTACAAATTACAGTTTAGTAATAACACCTGGAAATCTCTTTGGGCTTTATCCAAGGATGTCAGGAGGACAAATAACTCATTCTGGGGGCTCTGATCTCTCTGCCGCAATTAACAAAATAGATTTTGTTCTCCTTCACTCACCATTTAATACAAGCTGAATATTGAAAAAGGCAGATTTTGCCCTGGATTCCCAATCAAACAAAACCGATTTTTGCTGCTACACTATCACAGGGAATAAAACAGACAATAAATTTGATATACCATGATTTTACACACAGAAACACACAGATACACAGACACACAGACACACACACACACAATATTTAAGATAGAGATTGTTTAAATAGTTTTTGAAACTGTAAGCATATGTCAGACAGAATGCACAGAGCCTGGCCAGAATGTCTTCCAACATAAAATCTTACCAGACCTCACTAATAATTTTGCTAACCGTCTGCAAAGACATTTTGCCAACCTGCTATGCAGTTTAATACAATCCTCCATTGACGTGCTGACATTTTTAATAGGGTCACTCTCCGTCCCTACACCATTCAGTTTTGCTGGTATGTTAATTATATATTTATTGGAAAGCATCCCTTTTCTTAATCGTAATATGCATACTGATGGATCTTTGTGATTTTGCAACCTAATTGGGCAGGTGTCTATTTTGTCCCAAACAAGACAGATAATTAAATCATCTTTAGTCTCCTTAAATGCACTAGAATGGTGATAATCAACATAGATGTTTCCCAAATACGGGCACCAAAATCATAGGTAAAGGATTGGGAAGTGCAATATTGTCTACACATCACTTTAAAATATATATGGCTTCCCCTCCATCCCTGGCCGGCACCATCACTCTCTTTTTATTGGATCTGCCACAGGACCCAGCCGGACTATTGATTCTGCAGATTGTGCCAGTTTTGTATTGCAAGGTCACCCTTAATTGCATCCTGGCTGACGTCATCTCTCCGCCACACCATCTTCCTCCCCTCTCCCTTTAGATTTCCAATTCTTCCACCTGCTTGCTTTCATAAAGCAAGCTCGCTGAAGAGCAGTCACTTTCGGTAGGGCTGCAAAGGCAAAACGTTGCCAGAGCGTCTTCTGTTGCTGAGCCTTTCCACTGGAGAACAGGAGGGAGTGGAAGAAGATTTGATACCCAGTTTCGGGAAGCTGCCTTTGGTTTTTAAAGCCCTGCAGGGTGTCAGGCCTCAGGTGTCCTTTCCTGCTCAGATGTCGTGTATTTGTATGCATGCCTGCGTGCATATGGCATCTGCTTTAACCACAACCTTGTCATTCTCCAAACCCTGGGAGACTTTGCCATGTCAGAACGAGGAGCCCCTTTTCCTGTTTCCGACAGAGATGGCATTTGTGGTGCTGTGCCCTCTAGACACATCTGCCCGAAGGGACAGAGCAGACATGATTCCTTTTCTTGTTCCTCTTCACAGAATACAATAACCTGAATGCCAGATGAACAGCAGGGGCATTTCCCCTCCTCTTTTCTTTCTCTCTCTGGTCGCCTCTTCCTTGACGCAAGATAGCAAGTAGGCACTTCTTCTGCCACTTCCCGGTGGAAGATTAATACAGCGCTCAGCTTCTCCATATGCTTTGCATCAGGAGCAGGGCAGCCTTTTGTGAATTACTCAGAATAAATCTGAGTTATCAGAACACTGTGTGCCTAGTCTTGTTATACCCAAATAAGAAGAAAGGGAGCAAAAATCAAAGAGGGATCCTGTAGGACTATAATATCCGCACTGCAATAATCCAGAGGACCGTTGGATTAAAAGAGCTTATTCTCTGAAGCCATTTAGTGATTGCTTGGATTCCACCACCACCACCCCAACCGATCCTCTCTATTCTGCGTCTAAACCTGCTTTTAATTCTTCAGTTACTGTGCAAGACAAATGGTTAATTTATATCCAGAGGTCTTCCAGGAAATCTCATATCATTGAGTCAATGGGATTTTTTTTTCTTTTACTGAGTTACCTGAACCACCTAAGCCCTGCACTAAATGGAATAAATCTAATTAGGCGGAAAGAGCTGTTCACAGAATAAAACCGGAATGGATTCCAGCACTAAAGCCGTGGATTTAGCCAGACTTTGCAGTCTGCGATGCCTTTTATAAGTCTGTTTAAAAAAAAACACAATACTTTCTGATAATCAGGAGACCTGTAGAGTGATCTGTCTACAGAAATCAGACTTTGGGTTAAACCCTTTTGTTTTTCATTTGACTCTTTAATTTAACAGAACCTGTCAAGGTGGCATATGTTCCTCTAAATTTTGTGTGTGTGTGTGTGTGTGTGTGTGTGTGTAATTTGCAGTTGTACGCTACCTATCAAATCCACATGAATGGTAAAAATTTAGGCATATACAAAATTAAGTTAACACAAAATTAAAAATAATAAATTTAATGAATAAATAGACAAACAAACAAACAAACAAACAAATAATCCTCACACAGCTACATGGGCACGTTTACCTTCAGTCAGTGGTGGGATTCAGTCAGTTCGGGCTGGTTCAGGAAAACTGGTTGTTAAATTGCTGGTTGGCCACACCCCTCCCTGCCCCGCCCCTTCCAGGAATCCCCACGCCCTCCGTTTTGGCTCCCAGATAAGTGCAGGGAGGCCTACTAGACCCAAAATGGGGTGTGAGGAGGGGGTGCGGTGCGCCCCCCCTCCCCCGGTGACCCATTTTGGCTCCCAGATAAGTGCAGGGAGGCCTACTAGGCCCAACATGGGGTGTGGGGAGGGGGTGCAGTGTGCCACCCCGTGATCCGTTTTTGCTCCCAGGAGACTGCAGGGAACCCTACTAGACCACTGCCTTTAGTAGAGATAAAACTGATTTCTAGCACCACATATAAGTTTTTCCTCCCATCTCCCATACTCTGATCAATATTGCATAAATAGTTCTCAACTTACAACTATTCACCAGTGACCAAAAGTGATTTGCAATTGGTCCTCACATTTATGACCAACGCAGTTTCCCCATGGTTCCCCATGGTTCCTTTTCAAAATTTTGGCAATGGCCTCGGTATCCTGGGGTCATGTGATCTCCATTGGTGGCTTTCCCAGCTTCTGACAAGGAAAGGAAATAGTAAAGTCAGATTCACTTAACAACCATGGGGAAAAAAGTGGTAAAATAAGTGTGACTTATTTAAAAAAAACACCTTCCTAAGTGATGGAAATTCTGGTTCCAATTGTGACTGTAAGTCTAGGATTAGTGTTAGAGAGTGCCAGTCTCCCTTGGTTATTCTAAGTGTGAAGAAGTTATGGATTTACTTGTCATGGCAGAACTGTGGAGCCTTTCATTTCAAGTCAGTGAATTATGAATGGGGAATTCACTTCTAATTTTCTCTAATTTAGAGGATTTTTTTCTAGACGAAATTGTTATATAGGTTATTTAAATTCAACGTGGTATGGACTACCTTTCTGCCTCCGTCTACTACAGGTAGTGTTCCACTTACGACAGTTCATTTACTGACCGTTTGAAGTTACAACGGCCCTGAAAAAAATGACTTATGACTGTCTACTACGGGTAGTGTTCCACTTACGACCGTTTCACTTATGACCATTGCAGCAACCCCATGGTCATATGATTTACATTCGGATGCTTGACAATTGACTTATATTTATGATGGTTGCAGTGTCCTAGGGGTCACATGAACACCTTTTGCAACCTTCTGACAAACGAAATCAATGGGAAATCAGATTCACTTAACAACCGTGTTACTAACTCAACAACTGCAATGATTTACTTAGCAGATGTGGCAAGAAAAGTCGTAAAATGGGGCAAAACTCACTTAACACATTCCTCACTTAGCAAGTACATTTTGGGGCTCAATTGTGGTTGTAAGTTGAGGACTACCAGTAGTCAACTTCTAACCACTAGGGGAAATCAAATGCAGAGACAGCCATGGGATTCGGTACATTACATCCTTTTTCCATGTGTCTCTTTGTAACATGACTTCTATTGCAGTGGTTCTCAACCTTCCTAATGCCGCGACCCTTTAATACAGTTCCTCGTGTTGTAGTGACCCCAACCATAAAATTATTCCTAAAACCATTGAAAATATGTATTTTCTGATGGACTTAGGTGACCTCTGTGAAAGGGTCGTTCGACTCCCAAAGGGGTCGCGACCCACAGGTTGAGAACCACTGTTCTATTGGCTGGATTGATCTTGGGATTTTCATCACTTTCTTGCTCTCTTATTTCAGCGTTTCTCTGTTCTGATCCTGACCAGTGAAGTTTAGACTCCCATCTGACTTATGCCTTCTCCAGGGTAGAAGACAGCATACTAAATGCAGGCTTTTAGCTATAATCAACTTAAGTTAACTCAGGTGTTCCTATCGCCATATTATTTCCTAAAGAAAGCTTATTTTTTTTATTTTTTTCCATTCAGACACAGCCTGAAGAAATCATTCTTATCAAAAGATCTACTCTTAGCTTTACTTTTCATCTCTTTGTGCATTCTTTTCACTGCGTAAAGCTGTTCATTATCCCAAATCAGTTTAGCATGGATCTCAGAGCAGAGCAATATTCTTCAAGCACCAGCTTTCTCTGCTCCCCCTCTCCCCCATTTTTAGCTCATACTCAGTAAGGAAAAAGTACATTGTCACATGAGATGCTAAGTCAAAACTCTGTGAAAAGTATGATAATTGGTGAAGAAGGTTTTTATTATTTCACTCAGAGGAATCCCAGCATATTGTGGGAAGCCACTCCCCTCTTCCTAGAAGAATGAAATATTTTGAGGAATATTTTTAAAAGCCAGCATAAAATATTTCCCCTAAAAGAGAAATAAAAAAATCTTAAGGGAGACAGAAACTCAGAGCCCCTGCTCCCTGCCCCCAGCAGATATTTTGTGCCCATTAAGACTGGACCAGACTATCTACAAAACAAAAGACCTTCAGCTCCATGGTGAAGGGATTAAGACATGACCCTTCAGGACGTAATAGGATTAACCCATTAAGACACAGAATTTACTACATTGCACAATTTCCTAAGGACATTGCATCACCCTCAGAAACTTCAAGCTCAGACAACCTATAGAGCCGGCTATGACCCCTACATAACCCCTACATGGCCACATGGGAGTCCAACAACAGTCAATAGAATAACATGTTTTTGCACAGGAACAGGAAACTCAAGTGCAAAGCCCAAGAGAAGATATAAAAACGCCTCACTCTCAACTCAATATGTTCAGCTAACCAGAATCACACATGCTGGGTGGTTCTACTTCATCAATAAATTGACCCTCTTTCCAATCAGCCTCCAGTCTCCATTTTGTCTCCAGTACCTTTCTCCCAGCTTGGAACTGAACCAGATGGATATTTCTTCCAACAATTTTCTGATATGTCAGTTTTCTATCTGTGTCAGGTCTGTGTTTGATGAGTCCTTTGATGAAATGATTAACCACATCTCCAGGATCTGGACTTGCAGAAGATAGTAATGTTCCAGCTAGTAGCGGGAAAAGCTTTAGAGGAGGTTTCTGAAGAAAAAACAGTAGATGATGACTGTCTGAGATCCATTCTTCTTCCCAGCCCGAGAGCGCAAAAGCAAAAAAGCATTGCAAAGATGCAATGAATGCTTAAGTTAAAAGCTGACAGGATCAGAAGATTGCTAGCAAAGTTAAAGGCAACATCTGGGGTTGACATACTGGTCTGAAAATTCATGTCTAACTTCACTCAGCATTGCTTGTAAGTGAGATTCTTTTTTTGAGTGGCTTGTGACTTCAAACCAATATACGAACACGAATTGGTATAAACTTGTGGTCTTCTTTTCTTGCCTGATTTTTTGGACCAGACTTCAACCACCAAATTAAGAGTCCATGAGCTGTCTCTCTGTAAGAATAATCTCAGATATTCTAGTCAAATTCTTTCAGCTTTTTCTCTGCTATAGATCAACTATGCTGATTACTTAAGAGGGATTTATTGTATTACAGCCATAAAAATGAAATATTGTGTGGGGTTTTCCACAGTTCGCTGTGGAAGGATATTCATCTATCTTTCTCAACCTTCCATGATGGCTGGGGAATTCTGGAAGTTGAAATCCACATACCTTAAAGTTGCTAAGGTTGAGAAACATCGATCTATCTGACATAGCTAATACTTCAACCTGAAAATGTTTCTATACCTCAGTCAGTCCAATATAGTTTGAAACAGATCCTCCTTCACGATCGCTAGCTGTTGACCAATAGAAGCCTGCAAAAAACAAACAAACATCATCTTCTAAACTGTTGCTAGTGCAAGAGCAATTTATAAAGTAATTGTAAAAGTCCCCTTGCTTCATAAAGTGTTATCCCTCCCTCTGTGTTTTCAGTATTTATTTTTTTTGCATGTATCTAGTCATCTGCAAAAAAAAAAAAAAAAAAAAAAACCCCCCCCCCCCAAATTTGAGTGATTTTAACAGTAGGAAGTTGCCTGGCTACCAAGCTTTCATTCCTTTCTATTAAAAATCCACTTGAGCATTGCAAAAATGGAATGGCATCATGCCATCCATTTTGCAACCGTTTCCCACTCCCCCAAAAGGCAGTAGACTACACAACAGATGAAGTGGGGAGACGGGAACTATAAGGACCTTATAGGAAGCAGAAATTGCAATTCCTTGCACAGGTGATGAAATGGGGAAGAGAGGAAATTGAAAAATAAAAATAGCAGCTTTGTTTTTTTCAGGTTGGCTTCTCCATTGCAAAAATAGAAAGAGGAATCACAGAACTCTTGTCAATAGAGGCCTTCTAAATCAAACCAGCATTCTACTTAAAGCACCAGTTTGGGCTGCTAAACCTCATGAAGCAAAAGGGAGACGAAATGTCCCTCCAGTGGGAGCTGCAATGCTTCAAAAAGAATGATGGCTTTGGAGATACAACATGAGTAACACTGCAACTAAGCAAGAAATCAGCTGGGCTGGTACAAAGGATTCAAATGGACGTGCTTTCCATTTATCTTTACAGTCTAGAGTACTCCAGCCCTCTGTAACTTTGAGTTGTAATCTATTGTTTATATCAACTTGATATCTGATTTAAAATGCTAGATCTTCTTTAAGAATACTGTATTGCTTTGTGCAAATGTATAAAATATGTACATATTTGGGGATAACGATGATGTTTAGATTTGAAAATGAAAAATCCACTGCCAACTCTGGAAAAGAGATAAATATCCTGGAAGTCAAGAAAAAGATTTTGTAAAAGTTATTGTGCTGATTAGGACGCTGGCCCTATCAATCTTGATTACTAAAGAAAACTTAAAATGTGGAGGGGAGGGGAGGGGAGGGGAGGGGAGAGAGTGAGGGAGGGAGGGAGGGAAGAAGGAAGGAAGGAAGGAAGGAAGGAAGGAAGGAAGGAAGGAACGAAGGAAGGAAGGAAGGAAGGAACGAAGGAAGGAAGGAAGGAAGGAAGGAAGGATCTTCTTGCAAACTTCTGGTGATGCAGCACCCATAACTTCTGGAGGCAGACTGTTTAATTGTTCTCATAGTCAGAAAATTTCTCTTTATTTCTAGGTTGGATCTCTCTTAATAAGCTTCCATCCATTAATTCTTGTCCTGCCCTCAAGTGCTTTGGAGAATAGATTGTCCCCCTTTTCTTTGTGATAGCCCCTCAAATATTGGAAGACTGGTATCATGCCATCCTCCAGTCCTTCTCTTCCTTAGACTACACTTGCCCAGTTCCTGCAACCATTCAAAATTTGAAACTGCTTTGTTGGACATATAAAAATCTAATTTTTAATTTACAATTGTAATTGCTATTTTTTTAATGCAGTATTTTGATGATAAATGATTGTCAACAACAGATAACAATGGTCAATTAACTGTACATGGCTTGTGTAATCGGTCTTTTGTTGAGTTCTATGCGTGCTTTTGTTTTTAACTTCTTGAAAGAATTTTGCATTCCAGATTCTTCCGAGTTCAGAGTATTGCAAACAGTGGGAGTTACTGCACATTGCATAAAGTGTTACTGCAGACCACATGGGGAAAATATGAATATCACAGCCTTTGAAGCTAATACATACATAAGGAAGATCTGAGAAGTAGTCAAAATGGAAATAGCTAGCTGAAAACCACTTGGAGAAAAGAGGAGTTGGCAGAACTCATTAGACAATTCAAAAGATTAGCCATGTGACATCTCAACGAAGGATTAATCCTGTAATCTGTCTATAGATAAATTGCTATTGCTTCTACCTGCCCAATGATGTTAATCAGTTTATTATCAGAATCTTTCACTTTTGTACATAGCTTACAATTGTGCAGAACATTAAAAAAAAATTGTGTGTGTGAATTAAAATGGCCAGTGAAGCATCTGAGTCCACTAAGATTAACCAATGTCACAAAATTCCATTTGCTATTAAATTCCATGGAAGACCTCTGACCAATCAGCCATATTCATACTCCTGAGTCCTATTCAGTCAGTATAATTTACTTATGGGTGTATCTCTACAGGTAAAGGCTGGTAAGCAGTCATCTTACCAGGAGCCCTTGTACAGGAATTCTGGTGATGCAGTGGTTAGAATGCAGTATTGCAGGCAAACTCTGCCCACAGTCTGGAGTTCAATCCTGATGGGGCTAGAGATTGACTTAAGCCTTTCATCCTTCCAAGGTCGGTAAAACGAGGACCCAGATTGTTGGGGACAATATACTGACATTGTAAACCATCCAGACAGTGTTGTAAAGCTCTATGAAGCGGTATATAAGTCTAAGTGCTATTGCTATCTTCTTTCTGAGTTATGCTTGTGTTGTCACTAAAGAGCTCCATGCATCCTGCATGATCATCCACCCAGAAAGTGCAAAGGGATGAAGTGTTTTTGATAGAGTTATAGTCTCTGCCACAGACAACTGACTCCAGTGAGATCTTAACATTAAACCAGGGGTCAGCAACCTGCGGCTCTGGAGCTGCATATGGCTTTTTCACCCCTCTGCTGCAGCTCCCTGTCACTCAAAATATGCATTACAACCGTCAATGTGCGACATCTGCCAGCACATGATTTATTGAGCTTTTCAAACCCCGGTAGCCCAACCATGGATAAATCCAAGAAAAGAAGTTTCAGAAGAAAATAGAACGTTTAATTCAACTACATATGCTAGTTTTGTGGCTGCTCAAGAAATAGTCAGGCACGGGAAGGGTTTTGTGGCTCCCGGTGTTTTCTTTTCTGTGGGAAACGGGTCCAAATGGCTCTTTGAGTGTTTAAGGTTGCAGACCTCTGCATTAAACACTGGTGATATCCTAATCCTGTGATGAAGAATTTATGGCACATGTGCCCAAAGTGGCACACGAAACCATGTCACCTGGCAAGCACAGCCTTGCCTGTTTGTCTTCTGGCGCATATGCACATGCGCCTATCAGTTGTTGTTCGCGCAAGCAGCGGTGCCGAAAAGTGGCCTGCACATGCATGCCAGTCAGTTCAGCTGATCGTTGGGTGCGCATGCACGCTAGAACCTCGAAGTTTGGCTTTTCCGGAGTGTGGCCCCGACGAGTGCGCACATACGTGCACGATGTTTCCACACCATCTTTTCGGCACTCACTGTCCTAATCAAATAAGTTTCCCAGAAAATGTGACCATCCAGATGTCAGCTTTCTCTTCCTTTTTTTGCTTCCCACTCTGCATTGACATCATTCCAGGATACTAAAATCAACTAAAATGCATGCCAGCCATTGTTTCCTTTGTTGCTATTTATACAACTGCACTCTCCCAAGATCAACAATTTAAAATTCAGCAGTGGTGACTGTCCCAGAACCCAAGAACTTGATTCTTGAGAAAGTCAAGGAGACTATGAGCCTAAAGAGAGAAGCCACACAAATTACTGTTTTCATAAAAACATTGATGGCCCCAGCAAAACAATAATCCTCTAGAGCAGGGTCTCCAACCTTGGCAACTTTAAGACTTGTGGACTTCAACTCCCAGAGGAGGTGGCTGAGGAACTCTGGGAGTTGAAGTCCACAAGATTCTGTTTTTTCCAAGATAAAGTCATAGCTGCCTTCTGGTTCAAAATATGAAGTTTTATGAAGGAAAGAGGACTGCTGGGATCAAACTGAAAGGAAATACCTGAAATGCAGTGCAAAGATGTAGTAGAACAGTGAGGTCCCAGCCAAGGAACTATAAGAAAGGGAGTACCAAAACTTTATCTTAGTGCTATGGAGTGTGGTGGTTGCGGTTAGGACGCTGGTTTGACAAATTCCAAGTCCGTGTTGAAAGCTCAAGTACTGTTGTATGTTGGGGTGAACTCCCGTCATTTGCTACAACTCCTGCTCACCTAGCAGTTTGAAAGCATGCAAATGCAAGTAGATAAATAGGTACCACTTCTGTGGGTTCATTGATATAGACCTAAAAGGAGCCCCCAATTGGGTGCCCCCTGGGCAATGATGATATCACCAAGATTTCCTTTCACCATGGAAATGCTTCAGTGCTTCCAACACAGAAGTATAGTGCCTTAGTGCTATAAATTTAAACTTGTGTTATTGTTTTGGCTTAGATCTGAGTCACCCCCATTTATAGGTAGGTTCAAGAGATCCCTTATGATAGGTGTATTTTTTTAAAAAAACAGACAAATTCCTGTTTGATCTCTTGGTAGGATTTCTATTTCTAAATTGGAGATACTTCGTCAGAGAGTCCAATACAAATTGCCATGATATTCATGCAACACTGCATGAATTGTCATGATATTCATGCAAATAGTAACATTCTCCCATCATTTTTAGTTCATATTGTCCCATCATTCTACCATTATGTACTTATGTCCTGATGACATAAGTGCATGTATCTCAGATTTGTGTGGTGATGTCAGCAGGCCCATTTTATCATTCCTACCCACATTCCCTTTCTTTCTTCCCAATCTTGCTCTATCAGTCCAGCTCTGAATTCTAGGTTACCTTCTTGATCTAATACTGTCCTCAACCAAGTTTTTTTAGACTTGCAACACTACATTCCTATGGATAGTTTATTTATTCATTGATGGGAATTCTGATCAAGACAGTTTGATATTGACCTTCAGAATCCAGTTCCTGGTATTTGTTTTAGGTATTATTTAGAATGTATCTTAACTTTCTCCTCTACTCCAACTGTACCATGGAAACATGATTAGAAATATTGGGGTGGGGAGGCCTCCTTGGGGGAAAAAAGTTATCTTCCCAGTTTGTTAGAGGATTTTAAATGCAGGATTTTTTTTAATTTTTTTTTTATTTGATTTATATGCCGCCCTTCTCTGG